ATTTGGGCTTTTTATTTCTGTTGAGTTGTATGAGTTCTTTATATATTTTGGATACTAACATTTTAAAAGATATTTTTAAAAGATTTTATTCATCTATTCATGAGAGACACAGGGAGAGAGGCAGAGGCATAGACAGAGGGAGAAGCAGGCTCCCTGCAGGGAGCCCGATGTGGGACTTGATCCCAGGGCCCCAGGATCACAATCTGAGCCAAAGGCATACGCTCAACCACTAAGCAACACCGGTGTCCCAGATACTAACTTTTTGTGGGATATGGTGTTTGCAAATATGTCCTTTCTTCAGTAGGTTGCCTTGAAGTTTTGTTGATTCATTTCTTTGCTATGCAGAAGATTTTTATTTTGATGTAGTCCCAATTGTTTACTTTTGCTTTTGATTCCCTTGCTTCAGGAGATTTATCTACCAAAATTTTGCTAAGGCTGATGTCAGAGAAATTACTGCCTGTGTTCATTTCTAGAATTTTTTATTTCCATTGGATATTCTTTCCTGCTTTGTCAAAGATTAGTTGACCTTAGAGTTGGGGGTTCATTTCTGAGTTTTCTATATGGTTGTATTGATCTATGAGTCTATTTTTCTACCAGTAACATACTTTTTAAAAAAATCACTACAGCTCTGTAATATAACTTGAGGACTGGAGTCGTGATGCTTCCAGCTTTGCTTGTCTTTTTCAAGATTGCTTTGGTTATTTGGGGTCTTTTCTGGTTCCATATGAATTTTTGGACAGTTTGTTCTAGCTCTGTGAAAAATGTAGTTGGTATCTTGATAAGGATTGCGTTAAATGTGTAGTATACACATTATAACAATTTTTTTCTTTCAATATTTCAGCATGGTATGTATTTACATTATTGGTGTCATTTTCAATTTCTTTCATCAGTGTTATAGTGTTTTCAGAGAACAAGTCTTTCAGAACTTTGGGTTAAGTTTCATTCTAGATATTTTATTGTTTTTGGTAAAGTTGTAAATGGAATTGTTTTCTTCTCTTTCTGCTGTCTCATTGTTACTATGTAGAAATACAACAGATTTCTGTACATTGATTTTACTAAATTATCACTTCTAGTAGTTTTTTGCTGGCGTCGTTAGGATTTTTTATATATATAGTATCATGTCATCTGCAAATAGTGAAAGTTTCCTTCTTCCTTGCTGATTTGGATACCTTTTATTTGTTTTTTGTTGTCTAATTGGTGTGGCTTATATTTCTCATAATATGTTGAATAAAATTGGTGAGAGTGGATATCCTCATCTTGTTAGAGGAAAAACTCAGTTTTCCCCATTAAGCATGATGTCGGCTGCTGGCTTTTCATATATATGACATTTATTATGTTGAAGCATATTCCCTCTAAAACTCCTTTTTGAAATTTTTTTTATCAAAATGGATATTGTATTTTTTCTTCATTAATTGAAATGATAATATGGCTTTATAAGATTAACCTTTATAATAAAAATTGACAGACTAGTTATTACCATAAAGAAACAGAGTATTAGTGTTATCAATTTGATTCAGTGATACGTTTCTTTTTTATATTTTTTTATTGGAGTTCAATTTGCAAACATATAGCATAACACCCAGTGCTCATCCCGCCAAGTGCCCCCCTCGGTGCCCATCATCCAGTCACCTCAACCCCCCGCCCACCTCCCCTTCCACTACCCCTTATTCATTTCCCAGAGTTAGGTGTCTTTTCTAATTCCACACAAATCTTAAGATGATTTGTTCCAACTCTCTGAAGAAACTCCATGGTATCTTGATGGGGATTGCATTAAATGTGTAAATTGCCCTGGGTAGCATTGACATTTTCACAATATTATTTCTTCCAATCCATGAGCATGGAATATTTTTCCATCTCTTTGAGTCCTCCTCAATTTCTTTCAGAAGTGTTCTACAGTTTTTAGGGTATAGATCCTTTACCTCTTTGGTTAGGTTTATTCCTAGGTATCTTATGCTTTTGGGTGAAATTGTCAATGGGATGGACTCCTTAATTTCTCTTTCTTCAGTCTCATTGTTAGTGTATAGAAATGCCACTGATTTTTGGGCATTGATTTTGTATCCTGCCACCCTGCCAAATTGCTGTATGAGTTCTAGCCATCTCGGGGTTGAGTCTTTTGGGTTTTCTATGTACAGTATCATGTCATCTGCAAAGAGGGAGAGTTTGACTTATTCTTTGCCAATTTGAATGCCTTTCATTTCTTCTTGTTGCCTGATTACTGAGGCGAGCACTTTTAGTATTATGTTGAATAGCAGTGGCGAGAGTGGACATCCCTGTCATGTTCCTGATCTTAGGGGAAAGGCTCCCAGTGTTTCCCCACTGAGAATGATATTTGCTGTGGGCTTTTCGTAGATGGCTTTTAAGAGGCTGAGGAACATTTCCTCTATCCCTACACTCTGAAGAGTTTTGATCAGGAATGGATGCTGTATTTTGTCAAATGCTTTCTCTGCATCTATTGATCTTGATTCCTTTATGCTTTTTTTTTCCCCCAGAGCCACCAGTAGCTTTATAATTGTGCTTCTGAATTGGCTTTCTGACATTGAATTGTAATCCAAATTCTGTAATTCTGTGGGAGAGATTACTGTTTTTGAATCTTTTTTTGTGTGTTTTTTTTTAACCTTCTAGTCATTTTGCTCAGTGCAGAGTGGCTAAAAACAAGTTGTACTGGAAAAAGGAAGGAAAAAGGAAGAAAAAAAGGAGAGGGAAACAAACAAAACAAAACAAAACAAAACCAAGGAGGGGTATCCTCTGATTCTATATACTGTAAGTCTCTCGACTTCCCCTGGAGCTTTCCCGTGCTGCTTGGTCAAGAACTTGCTCTTCCCCTGTCCTTCCAGCTGGTCTTCTAGGGGAGGGGCCTGCTGTGCTGATTCTCAGGTGTGTCCACCTGGGGGAGCTTCCCTACCCCCTGCCAGGTGCAGGGTTCAGTGGGAGCTGTTTATCCTGTGAGGCCCTTGCTCCCTGGCGGCCCACTCAGTCCAGGCACAAGGTGACACCAGGAGGAACAACAGTGACGGCGGCTAGCTCTTCAGCCCTAGAGGCAGCTCCAGCAGTAACTACCATAGTCTCTCAGTCTGCAGGGGCCTGGATGGTCCGGGGGTTGGGGGTCGCTGATCTGCACATCACGGGGCCACCTGGTTGCAGGAGCGTTCACTGTCTTGTGCCCTCCGGGCCTCCGCCTGTCCCGGGGAGAGCACAGGATCCTCGGCTGTGTCCCCTGGCGCCTTGTGCTCCGGTGCCTATGGAGCTCAGCCCATGGTGTGTGGCACGCTGTCCCCCGGGGCGCAGGTCCTCTGTTAGTGACCACGGGAACTTGTGGCCTCCACTTCCCCTCCTGTGATCCTGTCCGAGTTCCTTGAGAGTGCCTTTCTGTCCAGGAAGATTGGTAAAGTCCTGCTTCTCCGGGTGGGGGCTTTCCTGTCCTGGGGGCACTCGCAGCGGGGCCTTAGCCCAGCTCCTCGCCGGGGGGGGGGGGCGGAGGGCCCTCCCCCTTGGATGCTTTTTCATTTTTTTTTTCCCGTCATTCCAGACGTTCTCTCTTTAAATCTCTGGCTGAATTCGTAGGTTTTCAGGATGATTTGAAAGTTATCTAGGTAAGTTGGTGGGGACAGGTGACTTGGGATCCTACTCTTCCGCCATCTTGCCCTGCCTTCCTGTAATATGTTTCTTTTTTTTCCTAATTTTTATTTATGATAGTCACACACACACACACACACACACACAGAGAGAGAGAGAGAGAGAGAGAGAGAGAGAGAGAGAGAGGCAGACATAGGCAGAGGGAGAAGCAGGCTCCATGCACCGGGAGCCCGATGTGGGATTCGATCCCGGATCTCCAGGATCGCGCCCTGGGCCAAAGGCAGGCGCCAAACCGCTGTGCCACACAGGGATCCCCTGTAATATGTTTCTTAGAAGAATATGTAATATCCATATTCCCCCCTTTAGTCTGTTCTCCCTAAATTCTATGCTTTGTATCACTGTTAGATCAATTTCCCCTAATCTGTTTTCTTTGTGATATTCCGCTGCCCTCAAATTTAATTGTTCCTTAACTACAAGTTAAAATCCAAAAGCTTCCACTTTGACACTCAGGCTAGTAAATTTTCTGGTACTTATTTGTGTTTTGAATTGTCCTCCCAAATCACATTTCAACCTGAAGTCTATGCTTTCATCTACAAATCATTCTTCTTTCTATCCATGGTTTTGGTTGTGAATTTTTTTAGACCTGGAATTCCCTTCATTATATTGTGTAGGTACAAAGTATGAATTCTACTTCCATCATTAATTTCTTTTAAGAACATCAACTCATACTTATCTCCATCTTCTGAATTATAATGTTACTGATAATAAATTTGTCACTTGGCCTTAGGTTAATATCTTTTATCTATTATGTGCACACACACACACACACTCTATCTTGAAGGGAATGTGAGTGTTATAGCTACAAATCATATGACTGTGTTATTGAACAAATCTATCACACTTTATCTAAATGAGTGTCTTCCATTCAAAAAAGTTGCCTTTGGAAAATTAAATGCTTAATAAAATAGAGTTATTGTTCAAAATATAATTATCATCTCTTCTGGGGAATTATTTCTGTATACTCTTCATCCTTTGGGGACCAATATAATTTTTGAAATAGTAAACTCATATGGATTTAAGATGGTGAATAGTTTGAGTGATATAATTTGGCATTAAATTTATTTATTCTAGAATCTTTTATCTCATTATTTTTTAGGGTGATTATCAACCAATAAAAGAACATTTAGAATATATTTCTTATGATGAACCTAAAACACAACAGAAGAACCTCTTCAAAATATTTTGAGCCTGGAGGTAAGTGTGCAATTTAAAACAAACAAACAAACAAAACAAACAAACAAAAAAACAAACCTCTGAGAGGATTAACACTTATCTGGAAGACTAATTTCTAGTCGCATAAAAGTCTTTCTCATTTCTGAAAAAAATAACCAAATACATACATACATACATAAGTGGAAGCATTTTACCGTTCCACACAGCCAGAAAGTCTGGAGCAATGGGTAGAAACAGGGGCATCATGACCCCCAGCAACATATAAGAATCCATTGTATGCTGCAACTCCCACACCTCCACGTCTTTTGGACATTGAAGCACATAAACTCCACTTGTTAGTGTGTGGGTCAAAGTATTCCATTGATCTGAGGCAGGAACTTCCATCACGACCACCAATAGCATATAGCCTAGGAAAAAAAGAACAGAAATGTGTGTGTGTGTGTTTAAGACAATTTCAATTTGTGCATAAAATAAAAGTGAAAAAAAATACTGTACAAAGCACTTCAAGTTTATGACTCCTTTGGTATTTTGTAGTGGATGGTCTCAGTTTGCGAATGGATAGTTACCTAAAGACACTTTTCAAGGTCTATGAACCACCCAGGCTTCATAATTTTTGTGAAAGTTTGACAAAAATAGATTAAAACATCTCATGAGAAATGAATACAGAAAAAGAAAGGAGTTATCAAAAGCATTGGCAGTATTTGTAAATTATACCTCCATAAATCTGGAAATTAAAGTAGGAAAAGGGTAGGTAGAATGTTTCCAAAGACTAACTCCAGCAACCTTATAATTTTGGCTTGGTTCAACTGCTTAGCATTAGAATCTCTCTTATTTTTATGAACTGGTTTACTTAGTATCAAAAACATTTGTCATTAAGAAGACTAACTTAATAAACAACTAAGGGAAAAAGAATCAACAAACTGGACTTTTCCCTAAGAAGATATATTAGCTATCACATTTCTCCCATAAATTTTAGAATGCCAATTCTTATGATGAGCAATATTTTTAATCTAAATGTAGTCCTGCATCAATAAAGAAAATAAACATTTACTAAACCATATGTTTGTAACTGTCCTTCATGCTCAGTTGTCAATAATAACAAGTCATTAAAAAAATTAAGTTAGTTAAATTTGATGATTTCAGTCTTTTCTGTAATAAGTAGGAGATTGTTCCTAAGTAACCTTACATTGAGGTCAGGCCAAAGATAATCAAATTTTGGAGTATTTTAAGCTCTAAGACACTGTAAGCGTGGGTAACTTCTTAAGTATAGAGATTTCCTACTTCATGCACAAGATACTATAAACCATCTGTGTTGAAATTTCTACTGGGCCCAATTACATGATGAGATATTGACTTTGTAGACACACAAAGCTGTCTCCTGCCACTGATCCATCCCAGTATCTGAAATTGTCATCATTCAAGTTCCTCTTATATGCTGGTCATTGTTTCCAAAGGTACCTTTTCAGAAATGGCATAATTACCTTGAATAAGTAGCAATTCACGATCTTAGCAACCTTTAATGTCATTGGATTTTAATATATTACCTTGCTTTCATAGGCAAGTGCTCAAGAAGGGAAAAGTTTCAGAAAGATGGGCCTTGGTGTAATTATAAAGTTGGGAACTCTGAACACTCAGGATAGTGAATGATAAAGAATAAGGGTAGCCTGGGTAGCTCAGCAGTTTAGCGCCACCTCCAGCCAGGGGCGTGATCCTGGAGACCTGAGATCGAATCCCACTTCAGGCTCCTTGCATGGAATGGAGCCTGCTTCTCCCACTGCCTGTGTTTCTGCCTCTATCTCTCTCTATGTCTCTCATGAATAAATAAATTAACTCTTTAAAAAATAATAAAAAGACTTGCCTTAATATAAGACTAACCAAAATTTTAATAAGTCATGATGCAAAAAATGGTAACTTCTCAAGGGTAAAATTGGAACTTTTTTGCCTATAAAAGCACTTCTTAGATTTAATATGCTCACAAGTCACTTGATATTTTTAAAATGCCAATTCTGATTCATGAAGTCTAGTTTGAGGCTAAAATTCAGCATTTATAAATAGCTCTGAGGTAATACTGATGCTGCTCATCCGAGGACTATGCTTGAGTAGCAAGACAATACAGAATATTTAATTAAATATTCAATTTAGACGAGCATTTTCTATATACTGAAGAGAAAGTTCCAACAAAGGCCTTTTGTTACTGATTACTAGAATGTCCTGGTCATTGAGAATGCTTATTGATTAATGGATCATATCACTGAAGTGTTGTACCACATGACCTCAGAGTAAAGAGCATTCATGTTTGGGTTTACTCACTTATTATTTAATGCAACAACGCCAACTGTGCTTCTGGGAGTTGACATACTGGCCACATAATTCCACTGATGTCCCTCAGGGTCCCATCTTTCTACAGTATTTAGATAACTCCATCCATCATGACCACCTACAGCATACATTGGTCCTTCAAGTGTGGCTACACCTAAAAGATTGAAAATAGCATGAGATCTCACCTAGATATATCACACATAATGTTTTTTTTTTCATTTTCCAAGCTACTGGCTGCTTAAAAATTGTTTTGTTTCTTAAATTATTTTGTATATACATTATAATTTACTAATCTTGATATGAAACTAAACATGGTCTCTTAACCCTAAGATATTTTCAGAAATAGCCTGTATCATGGGAGGGTATCATTGTTGTAATGCTGAAGTTAAAGGAAGTAATGGAACACACCATTTCTGGGGATGTAATAGAAAATGAAAACTAATTTTTGGGGGGATCATTTTGACATCAGTTTTTTAAATATAAGGGATAGATGAGACATCTATACTGACTTTTAGATAATTCATAGAATTGCAGACTGTGGTAGGCCTTTCCAATCCCTGCTTTTTTTATAGTAATAAAAATATTCCCAGGAGATAACAAAATAAACAGGGACTTTTTTGAGGTTTAATTAGAAATTTGTTCCATTACATACTATGAGTAGCCCCTATCTAACTGATTCTCTGGGAATTCACATAACTCGTCTTTTCCACCATCTCAATCAGCATCACAGTGGTATAAATTCTTCACTTCTACTTTCTTGGTAATATCAATTAGATTTTGAAAACTTGCTGTAATTTCTCTGTGAGATTCTTTTTCTAAACATTGTCTAGGAATCACATTGACACAACTGAGCTGAATAATTATATAGTTTATCATTTGACAGAGACAGTTTTTAAATATTTTTTTGGAAAAAACAATACCAGTCCTGAATCTGCCACTTTTTAGCTGTGTAAGTCAGTTCTCTCTGTGTGTGTGTGTGTGTGTCTAAGTCAGTTCTTAAAAAAAATAAGGAAATTATGCTTTTACAACAAACTCTATGATATTGAAAATTTGTGGAGGCTTGTATGAAGAAAAATGTACCTTGACAAATATTCAGGAGAATCAAAGTTCCCAACTGTTTGAGAAATCTCCACTTCATCTTTCTTAAACTTCTTGGGAATCTCTGGCTCAAGTATAAGTTGCTCTCAATTAAAGTAGTTTTTTCTTAATATTCCTGCCTTGGACCTGTATCCCAAGGCTTTTGCTGAAATACATATTTGCCTCTTATGGGAAGGGACACAGTTCATCAAATTAGAAATACAATGTCTCTCCATTATCAAATGCTTCCCCCGCCAAATTTAGTTTAGAAGAAAACTCCCTATTGTAGTTTTATGTTCCTCAATGGTGTACTCCTCATAAAACTTTTATCCTTCCTAAATTGATACCCTTTAAAATACATTTGAAGGGATGCAAGATTAGCATATATGATATCTGAAACAAGAAAAAAGTTTCACAAGCTTTTACCATTTGCTTAACCTTCTCAGCATTTTGGAGACATTCTGACTAAGGGTTTGGCTAAATCCCAATAATGTGCATTCAAGGTGAGCACTGGGTGATGTTTGGAATTGTTGAATCACTGGATTGTACACCTGAAACTAATATTATACTGTAAGTTTACCATTATGGAATTAAAGTAAAATCCCAATAATATGCAACTGTATTTAATTATTTAAAAGCTCTACTAATGACACATTCTTTAGAAACTATACAACAGTAAGCTCTTACCTAAGCCATGCCTATGTGTTGACATGGGAGGCATCACAGTCCAGATTTTGCCAACTGGATTAAAACATTCCACAGTATTCAAAGTTTTTAAACCATCTCTTCCTCCCACGACATAGAGCTTATTATCAATAACTGCAACTCCAAACTGAAGCCTATGGCCACTCATGGTGCCAATATGTAGCCAGCTGTTGGTTCTGAGATCATACTTTTCAATTGTAGTGGTACCTTTTAAAGGGATATTGAACAAAGGAAAAATCGCTTGAATAAAAATTTTAATTTTAATTGGCATCATTCAAGTTATATTTATGTACCTATAATTTATAGCATAGAATCAGTGATTGCAACTCAAATTAAAGTAGCCTAATGATTCTCTAACCTGGCTAACAAGGAAAAGGTAATATTTTGCTATTACTGGATCTAAATGGAAGAGTCAGAATAAAGCAATTTATTTAATATATATGGTTTGTATCCTTGTAATGGTCTCTTGGCTATACTATACTTCTAGTATTACTAACACAAGTGTTTAACATACCTGTCAACAAAAAATTACCTTAGAATCTATTACCCACCCTTTACACACCCATTATCATTCTATATATATATAGAATATATATATAGAATATATATATATGAATTTATATCATTTATTTTATTCAATTTTGAGCATGTGTGTTAATTTAAAATACAAGTGACTAAAGAAACAAGAATGAAAATTCCTTTTAAATGGTGTTGATTCATACAATTTTCCATGATGGTAAAATGAAGGATTATGATTAAAATAGATTAAGATTATTAATTATTATAATTAATAGTGTGGTTCTGAGGTATCAACTTTGGGTGTTTATACAAGTTCAATTTTACAAATTGTCACTTCTTCATTAAAAATTGAGAATTTTTGCATCAATGTTAATCAGCAATATTAGCCTTTTTAGTGGGGTCTTTATCTGGTTTTGTTATCAGAGTAATGCTGAACTCATACAGTGAATTTGGAAGTTTTCCTTCCTTTTCTATTTTTTGAAATAGTGTGAGAATAGGTATTAACTCTTCTTTAAATGTTTGGTAGAAGTACCCATGAAGCCATCCAACTCTGGAATTTTGTTTACTGATTACTGATTTAATATCTTTGCTATCAGTCTATTCAAGTTTTCTATTTCTTCTTATTTTGGTTTTGGTAGTTTATATGTTTCTAGGAATTTATCCATTTATTCAAGGTTCTACAATTGTTGGCATATAATATTTCATAATACTCTTTAAGTTTTGAATAAGGTGTTCTTTTTTTAATAAATTAATTTTTATTGGTGTTCAATTTACCAACATACAGAATAACACCCAGTGCTCATCCTGTCAAGTGCCCCCCTCAGTGCCCGTCACCCATTCATCCCCACCCCCTGCCCTCCTCCCCTTCCACCACCCCTAGTTCATTTCCCAGAGTTAGGAGTCTTTATGTTCTGTCTCCCATAATACTCTTTATAATTGTATTTCTGTGGTGTTGGTTATTATTCCACCTCTCTCATTTGTGATTTTATTTGTTTTGGTCATTTCTCTTTTCTTTTTGATAAGTGTGGTTAGAGGTTATCAATTTTTTTTTCAAAGAACTAGCTCTTGGTTTAACTGATTTGTTCTATTGTTTTTTTTAAATTTCCATATCATTTATTTCTGCTCTAATTTTTATTTCCTTCCTTCTACTGGCTTATGTTTCATACGTTGTTATTCTTCTAACTCCTTTAGTACATAATAAATTGTCATTTCTGTAAGCAATGCTTTTTACCAGTCATTCACAATAGGTGTTGCTATTTTTTTTGAGTAAAAGTTGATATTACACAAGGAAGTTTCTGACTAATAACCAAGATTGGAAATAAAGATGTATTATTTACACAAATAGTGTACCTAAGACAGCTTTAGACAGATTTAGGGAATTTCTTTTTTTAAGATTTATTTATTTATGAGAGAGAGAGAGAGAGAGAGAGAGAGAGAGAGGCAGAGGGAGAAGCAGGCTCCATGCCGGGAGCCCAATGCGGGACTCGATCCCGGGAGCCTAGGATCCCGCCCTGGGCCAAAGGCAGGTGCCAAACTGCTGAGCCACCCAGGGATTCCAGATTTAGGGAATTTCATCACAAATATATAGAGCCAATCATAGGAATAAGCAAAAACCACTTTTCAGTTGTTATTCTTCTGGGCAATTTGTGGAGCATTAGTTATGCTAAAAATATGTTTACATCTGAAGTGTATATACTAGTAAATTATAATGCTATGGTATGAGATCATACTAAGTCAAAATTTAAGCAAAGTATATTGTATCAATGGCTACTTCTAAAAGTTTTTCTAGGTATATTGGATTAGTGAACAGAGTGTTTAATTTTATATGTAATTTTTTTATCTTTTCTGATGAATAGTGAACTGTTAAGTATTTATGTCTCGAGTTTGGATTTTCATGATAAAAATTGTCTATAAACAGATACTCATTATCCTTTCTCTTTAATCTCTCCATCTTTCACTGATAGATGGATTTGGCTGAATACTGTTTTACAAATCAACAATTGCTCTACTGACTGCATTTATTACTGAGAGATCAAATAACATCACTTAGAAGAATATCTTTTCTACACTAAATAACTCTGGATGATACTATTAAAACTGGAATATCTACAAACTCACATCAACTTTCACTCTGTCAACAGTTCATTTTTTTCTGAATGTTTTCATATCTTTCAACTTTCTCATTCCAATCTTCCCAAATTTGTCTTCCTATCCACTTCTTCCTACTTTAACTTTTTATTTCAAACTCTTTTCATTAGTGAAATTTACCAAAATGCAAATTTAGAGATTAGGAAATGAAGATTAGCCTGCTCTATTACTAAAATTATAGAAATACTAATAGTGAAGTAATTAGTCAGGAAATTGTACAAAGCTATATTAATCAAGTGTATACAGAAGATTAACACAAAAGAATGTAGAAGTCTGTTTTATGCCAAGTTAATTTTTTTCTGGACATTAGATTAAATATAAAAGATAAATATATCCCACATCACTTATTTTTGTCTGTGAACATATATGACTTGCAGTTCTATAACTTGAATTCTGAAGATTTCTTCAGCTCATTTACCTACCTCCACTTTTGCTTCAACTACTCAAAATGTAAATCCCCTAGTTGGCCTACTATATAAGCTCTATATTTGATAGGAAAACTCAAATTAGATTTTTTTTTTACTGACGTCTCTCCTTAGGACTCATTTTTATGAATTGTCTGTGTATATAGCTCTTCTTCCCTAAAGCATTGCAACTATTGTTTTTCAATTCATCTCTAAGTTCCTATTCAACCTTCATTTATATTCTGGTCAAGAGGAAACAAAACTAACTTAACTCTGTAGACTTGATGGGAAAATGATAGTTCCTCTAGTTGTGAATATATCTGATTCAGTGATTTTCTCCATCTATTTTCAAGATGATCTAAAAATAACTATGCTAGTCTTTCATTTATACCATGCCATACTGACTCTCAGAATTCATTGTTTTAATAAATGAAAAGGTACTGCATACCTTTATGTACAAAAGCCCAAAGTTTACAATTTGACCATCTTAAAATTTTGACTCTGTGATTTTAATTACAACTTTCTGATGATTCCTTTAATATACATGGCAGGAATTATAGTTAACCCGAGCCACTTGTGTGATGCCTGTATTTAGCAACTAATTCCAAGTTAACTGTATGAGTCAAAAAGAAAATTAAAAACTGACGAAGTACTGCCTTCCTCAAACATCAAAAGGTGAAATCTAAGAAAATTTCTATAAAAAAGTGAAATAATGCACTGTAAGAAAAAGCACACATATTGAAACTATTTTAAGCTTTATGAAAGAATTAAAATAAAATATTTATATAGATATATTATTATAGATTTATATAGATATAATATTAAATAAATATTAATTAAAATATTGATTTATATAGATATATTATTATAGACTTATATAGATATATTATTTCTTTAATGTTTTGCTACACTTAGTGTTATTTTTCTTTCTTTCCTTTCTTTCTTCTCCTTAAGTGTTCCAACTGGCTTTTCAACAGTTTCTAAGACTCTCAGAGAGAGAGGTCAGTTTTGTTGTTGTTGCTCTTTCCTCTAAAATAGTGGTAGTAAAGCAAAAAGGATCATATAATTTGAGTAAAAATTCCAATTCCAGTGTTTCTCGATGCTGGTCCTTCGGTTGGCTATGTAACCTCAAGAGCTTCAGTTTCCTCATCTGCAAAATAACAATATTATTTTGTAGCATTATTGTGAGGATTACAGATTATGTTTGCAAAATGACAATGAAGGATTAGGTACTCAAAAATAGTTGTTCTTTACTATTATTGTAGTTGTCTGCAACTATTCATAGGGACTTTTATGTCTCCACACAATAGGTACCAATGAAGTCTCAAATGAAACTTGGTTCCTTCCATATGAAACTGATAACAGAATAAAAGGGATTATAGGTTCACATTTCAATCATTCTTTTTTCTTAAAGGTTATTTATTTATTTATTTATTTATGAGAGACACACACACACAGAGAGAGAGAGAGAGAGAGAGAGAGAGAGACAGGCAGAGACACAGGCAGAGGGAGAAGCAGGCTCCATGCAGGGAGTCGGACCTGGGACTCGATCCCCGGTCTCCGGGATCACACCCTGGCACGAAGGGGGTGCTAAACCACTGAGCCACTCGGGCTGCCCCATTTCAATCATTCTTAAAAACTTGATAAGGAACTATAGATACCTATTACTATTTTTTATAACACATTCATTTTGTAATATAACTTAAACAGCAGGAAGCCAAAAATAGCAAAAATAGGGAAAAAATTAAAAAACACAAAATGATCCATTTTTGCACTTTGCAGGTTAGGATTTTTTTTTTTTTTTAGTAGAAACTAAGGATAGGGCAGCCCTGGTGGCCCAGTGGTTTAGTGCCGCTTTCAGCCCAGGGACTGATCCTGGAGTCCCGGAATTGAGTCCCACGTCAGGCTCCCTGCATGGAGCCTGCTTCTCCCTCTGCCTGTGTCTCTGTCTCTCTTTCTCTCTCTCTCTCTCTGTGTCATGAATAAATAAAATTTAAAAAAGAAAAGAAACTAAGGATAATTATGCTTGCATTTTGCATTTAGTTCCCTTTAAATTTAAATATCAAACTAGACACCTTTTAAAGTGTTGTTCATCTTCATTCTAGTCAATAAAATGCAAGTTATCAGACTTGCAAT